TCTTTTGAACTTTCTATTCATCAAAGAATCCTGAAAAAAAAAGTATCACGGCTTCCACAAAATTATTAAGCAGCAAAAATTGTTTTCAACATTGACAATAATAAGAACCTGTATTAATGATTGAGCACCAAAAAAATTGAGCACCTGAAATAATGGTTGCTGAAAATTCATCTTTGGCATCACATGAATAAATTACACATTAAAATATATTTTTAGCAGAAAACAATTATTTTTAATTGTAATAATATTTCATAATGTTGCTGTTTTTACTGTATTTTTGCAGTTTTATAATAAATTTATTGATTTATTATTCAGCATATGAGACTTATGAGACTTCTTTCAAAAACATAAAAAGATCTTCCAAACTTTTGACTTATAATAAAAATTGTAAAATAAAATATCTGTGGCCCTGAGAAATAATTATAAATAAATACTTTGCAAATACTTTGAAAACACTGTACTTTGTCATTACTTGCATGATGATTCAGAGTAATAATGAATCTTCAATTTCTTGCTCGCTCTTCCTCTTTTTTTTAAGGTTGTGAAATGGCTTTATTATTCCCAATGCGCTCCAAGCACATCTTCGCCGAGGTAACACCCTCCATGTCCATGTCCCTACAATCATTCACCATCTGTCTGTGGGCCAAAGTGACTCAGTCACTGAATAAAACAGTGCTTTTCTCTTACGGAACCAAGAAAAACCCTCAAGAACTCCAGCTTCTTTTGGCAAGACACTCGGTGCTCCTCACAGTGGGTGGTGAGACCCATCTAGTGGAAGCTCACAGCGTAGTAACAGATGGGCAGTGGGGACACTTCTGTGCAGCTTGGAGCTCAGAGCAGGGGTTGGCCACTTTGTGGGTGAACGGAGAGAACGTTGCCAAAGTGCCTGGAGTAGCCGAAGGGCACGTACTGCCCGGTAATGGGTTCATTCTGCTCGGGCAAGAACGCAGCCGGTCGGGTATCTACAGAGATCTGGACTCATCGGTTGCCTTCACTGGAAAAATGACAGGGGTGAATATGTGGGACCACATGCTGGAAGCAGGGAGGATTAAAGAGTACGCCAATCAAGACGGATACTGTGATAGCCGTGGGAATGTGATTGGATGGGGTGTTTCAGAGATCATTCCACATGGTGGCGCTCAATATATCAACTGAGACTGCACCAACATACATCACAATACAATCTTGTACATTAAGTAATATTACATTGTATACCATCAATGATTTTCTATTTACCTTCTTTTTCATTCCAAATAAAAAGGATTTGTTCTCCCAAAACTGAAAATTTGCTGTGTGTTTATACACCCTGAGGCCATCCAAGATATAGGTTTCTTCAGTAGAACAGTAAAGAAGATTTTTAGCTCAACCCATGAACCCTGGTGATTCAAAAAATGCAAGTCAAGGGTACAGTCACTTTGAGAGAGAAAAAAGCAGATATAAAAACACAAAATTAATCACCTTGGCTCCTGACGATGTATTGAGGTCTAATGAAGTAAAACAATTGGTCTGTGTGAAACTGAATGTTCAGAATGTTCTGAAACTGAACATTATTTACAACATCATTACCTATAATCCATGCAGGTTCGGGTTCTTACACAGAACAATCATTTCACTTCATAAGTCCTCAATTATATCATCAGGAGACACAATCTGAAGAATTCATTTTGTATTTCTGTAACCGCTTTTTTTACTCTTAAAGTGACGGTACCTATTGGCCTATATTTTATGAATCACCAAGGACCACGGTTTCAGCTAAAAATCTTC